TAGTTGGAAAGATACACAGAGGAGATCCGGCCATAGTAGGACTTAGGCAGCTTATTCTTCCGCCCTCTTGGTAAGCGCCACCAGTGTGGGCAAGGAGGAGAACCAGCAGCTCCCCTGAGCCTACCAGCATGCAGGCTGAGAATCAAACACTCTCACTGCCTCCTCCTCGTAGCTACTGGGGATAGATGTCTCAGCATCTCTTGGAAGGATGACCATATGCAATATAGCAAATATGGGGAATTTCCTTCTGTCTTCTGTTTGAAGGCAAAGGTTGTCATCACTGTTTTGTTATATTTCTTTTGCTCTATTCACTACTCTCAATTGGTTTTATAAAGTTCTATTTTTGGTTTGATTTTGCTATATCTAAATGACTGGACAACTATTGTGAAGATAACGAGATATACCATAGTACCTATTACTACCATCCCAGTATCCTACTGTGAAGTTTTGTACCAATTTCACTGCATTGTCTCAATTGGCTTTGTTCTGTCTTGTTCTGTTGTATTTTTACTACTTTCAAAGTAAAATTTTAAAAAATGGAGAGATGCCTGTGCCCTCACCTCTGCCCGTCGGTGACTCTGGGTATGCCCATGAACAAGGACAGCTCAGCCTGAGAAGCTTGCAAGCCTCAGTTCTCATCTTGTGCTGGGATGGGAGGAACCTTGAAGGAAAGGGTGGCGGGTGGTGGTGTACTGCATCAGGGCAATGACAGCTGGCAATAGGAATGAGTGGGGCGATCCTTTTCAATACCCAGATACTTAAGAGCCCAGATTAGCAAGCGGCCCTCCAGGAATGGTCCATTTTCCCACCCTTTGGCTCCAGGGGCTGGAAGATCAGTTCTCTTGGGAGAATAAATGCCAGTGGCATTTACTGGGGGGGGGGAACCCCCTGGGGAGGTTTTCCTGGGAGCTCAGTGTGAGTTAAGGTCACACTGGCCCAATTGGGGGAAGTGGGTCCACTTGGTGAGTGGCTAGAGTGTGAGGCAAAGAGAAGCAGCTGATGCCTTGTGCCCAGCAACCTCCATCCTCCCAGTCACCTCCCCAGGGTCTCTTGAGCACAAGGCTGACTCTAACCACAGCTGCTGGACCCATAACCCAGCCCGACTATGCACATAGCCCAGCTCCTCATTCCTCTGGCTGCCGGAAAGGCCCTGTGATCCTAGTTTGAATTTCTCCACCTATTGAGAGAGAGGTTTTTGTGTGTTGGGGGTGCCAAGTTGGTAGATGATAATCGTTGCCATCAGTGGTGCAGATGGCAGTGATGGGACCTGTCAGGGGATGTAGCCATTGAAGAATGCAAAAGTCTGGAGAAAAGCATCTGTAATACCATTTAAGCTCTTAGATCCAGCTGCCCCTGAAGCTAGAACCCCTAAACATTTCAGTTGGTGTTGCCATTAAGTTTTCTTTGAGCAAAACCCAAATTCTTCAGAGGGCTAGATTCGCCATGGTCTGCCTGCATGGTGACAGCGGGCTGGCAAAATGGTAATAACCTAGAGGGCTGGTTGATTTGTTCTCAGTGTCTTGATGCCAGTCACTCAGAACAACGCACATGGAAGCTTCCTGTTGTCCTCTGCCCTGGAGAGAACAGGTTGATAACCTGAGTCTCTGTTTTAAGGGTACAGCTCCAATTCCAACAGTGGGGAGTATTCACCAACAAATCCTCATGCAGACTTCCCCTGAGCCTGGCCAGAGAACAGGAAACAGACAGGGTGAGTGTGGTCACAGGGCTCGGAGGGCATGCAGGCTAGGGCGAGGGAGCCTCGGGTCCCAGCTGCTGCTCTGTCCTCTGCAGAAGATGGGCACTGGGGCTGAGAGAATGACAGAGGTGTCCTGGCTGTCAGGCAGCTCTGACAACATACACTAGATGGTGTGGATTAGGATTAGCGCCGCTGGGGCTGGAAAGCCCAAGGTGTTGCAGGTTGGGGCCAGGTGAGGGCTGCTGTCTGCGACATGGATGGTGCTTTCTGGTTGAACCTCATGTGGTAGAGTAAAGGACAGTGGAGGTCTCTTACACCAGGCCACTGATCCTGTTCCTGAGCACCACACCCCATGACCTAAACACCCTGAAGAGCTCTTCTACAGCATCACCTTGGTGTGACCACAGGCGTTTGGGGGACACAAACACTCAGAGCGGCAGTGGTGCAGCTGTCATTTGTTGAGCACATATAGTGTGCCTGTCTTGTGTGAACGCCTTTAGAGTGATTAGCTTTCTAACCGGTTTAACAGCATTGACAGGGAATTACTACTGCCAACCCTGCTTGACAGAAGGGGAAACTGAGGTAGATAGATTAGCTGAGCTGACACCTAAGGGTAGGTGGGATGGCCAGAATTCCAATCCAGACAGCCTGGCACCTGTCACCCTGAATAAGTGGCAGATGCAGAGAGAAGCATGTAAAGGGGAGGGAAAGGTCTGTGAGATGCCAGGCAGGGCTGGGAGGGGAGGCTCAGGACACCAGGCAGGACTGGCTGCCCAATCGTGACCAGTGCAGAGTCTGTTGTTTGGAATTTTTCAAGAATTTAAAATGACAGCTAGATGTGCTGGCTTCACGTCTGCAATCCAAGCCCTGTGGAGGCTGAGGCAACAGGATCATCACAAATTTGACGTCATCTTTGGCTACATAGTGTGTTCAAGGCCAGCTTGGAATGCACAGCAAGGTCCTCCCTCCAAAAACAAACAAACAAACAAATGAAACAAAAAAGTCCCCACAAAATAATGAGAGAGGGAGAGAGAGAAAGGGAGAGGGAGAATGAGAGTGAGAGTGAGTGAGCGAGTGAGTGAGAAAGAGAAAGACAAAAGCAATAAGAAGATGAAGAGAGAGGAGGAGGAAGAAGAAGAGGAAGAGGAGGGGAAGAAGGAGAAGAAAGGAAAGAGAATTAAAGACGGCATTAGGGCATTAGAACAGACGATGTGGGAATGCTCGAAATAACTTCCAAGGCCAGGCCATGAAAAGCAATAGTGCTTCCACCTGGCACCCTGGGGACCAGCACTTTGTGGGCCTGAGTGGGGCTTCCCAGTGTCATCCAGGGCCCCAAGAAGCCACTCTAAGGTGTGAGCTCTGTCTCCAGTGCACAAACACAGGGACTGAGAGGTTTCCTTGCTCACCGCCAGGAACAGGCAGTTGGATGCAGTGAGGCCCCCAGAGTGGCTGAGCTTCCTCTCTCCTCGGTTCCTGGTCCAGCCCTCCCAGGCTATGTGACCTTGGGTAAATTGATCAGCTGCTCTGGGCAAGGCTCTCTCATTTGTACAATAGGGTCTCATCTGCAGTGAAGAATGAAGCCGGGCTGGTAGCTCTGTAAGACCTGGCAAGCATGGCTGCTGGGGCTCCTCTTCCAGCCTGAGCTCTGCCCCTGGCACAGAGTCCTCTGTCTCCTGATGAAGCCCTGTCTTCAATAGGTCCCACCTCATTCAAAATGTCATCAAGATTCAAGAAAACAAAAGGAGAAGGAAAGAGAGATTAGTGAGCGGTAGTAAGGCCGAGCTCCAAGAAACAAGCAGGAAGGGAAGTGCTCAGGCCCCAAGGAGAAAACCCTGTGCTTCTGGGGTTTGTGTTTTGTGGACTGGGTGGGGCAGGGGAGTGAATCAGGGGTGAAGGCACAATCATAGAGCAGAAAACCAGTGCCTGCACTGCCCTATCTCCTGCCTTTCAAAGAGATAGGATTTTTCTCATTGAAGAAGAAACTAAGGACTAGACAGGATAGGTGATGTCCCCAAAGTTACACAGCTGGTAGAGCCAGATGTTGAAGAGCCAACTGCAAACCCCTCAGTCCCTGGGCTGAGGACCCACATGTAGTCCTCAGGCAAGAGCTGGGGGATCCCCAGGTTCACAGATTAGGATTGGAGGCTCAGAGAAGTGCAGCTGTCCTCTGAGGGCTCCTGGCCCTGGAAGAGCAGGGTTTATGGCCAGTTCCCCAACGTTGGGGACAGAACTTGGTAGATGTGCAGTTACAGCTCAGGATCTCCTCTGTGACCCAAAATCCCACTCCAGCCCTGGGACAAAATACCCTAGGACATGACAGCTTTTCATCACTGTCACAGCAACCTGGCCTAGGCCACCCACGCAGGCTCTCAGGGAGAAGTAGGAACAGAAGCCAGCTTCCACCTGGTGCACCCACTCCTCCTGAGTCTCTAGAAGCACGTGGCAGAGCATCCTTTCCACAGCCTCGTCCTGTCCCACTCTGCTCTCTGGGTGACATTGCCCTTTACCCCCAAAGAAGAGGGAACCCAAGGGCAATGGTGGAGAGGCTGAGAAGAGAGGGGCTGGAGGCTGACACTGGAGACTCCTAGCCTTGAAGGGCAGGGCCAGGAGGAGAGACAGTGTCAAGAAAGGAGCATAGATGCCCGGGGTTCAGAGCTGGGGATTTGGGAGTGTGCTGTGTGCCTGTGTCTGCATGCTTTCCTTCCATCACTCTGGGAAAGTCCAGGTCCCCAAAGGACAGTTTCAGGCCCTGGGGGCTAGGTGGGCAGAGAAGCTGTGTGACTGCTCGGGGTCAGGAAGGAAAGGAAGGAAGATACTAGAGTGCATAGGTGAGGGGTGGCTTGGGGTGAGACCAGAGATCAGGAGGCCCTGCAGCTGTATGACTTGCAGTATAAGCAGCCACAGATGGAGCTACACAGGTGTGTGTAGCTGTATCTACTCTGAGGAAGAGGAAGGAAGGGACCAGAGCAGAGGTGAGGGGTAGCCTGGGGGGGCAGAGGCCAGGAAGCCCTAGAGCAGTGGGCCTTGCTGTATAAACAGCCACGGACAGTGCTGGCCAGACAGGAGTCTGCAGCTGCAGGACCTCTGGGGACCTGCACCATCAGGGACACAGACCACGCTGGTGTCCAAGGCACAAGGCTGGCTAGTGGGAAAGACAGCCTGTGGGTGCTCCGAGTGGACTCTTCAACCCATCACACGTCTCTGGATGCTCTCCCGACCAGCCATGCTGCTGGGCAGCCTCCTCTTCCTGATAGCCACCATGACTGCAGCCCAAAGGAGGGGACAGCAGGCAACGAGGGGAAGGATGCAGTATCAGATCAAGAATGGCCTGTGCAGCTACACCTTCTGGGTACCTGAGCTTCCATCCTGCAACCCCTCCAGTTTGGAGGCTTCCAACAACACCCAGAATAACCAGCCACTCCTGGTACAAATGAGGCTGTTGTTCGACCATCAGATGGAGAAGATGGAGAACGCACTGAGGAACAACATGCAGAGGATGGAGAAGGTATGGCAGGGCTGGGGAGGAGGGGCAGTTCAGGGCTGTCATTGTCAGCAGGTGTAGTGTGCAGCGCAGAGGTCTTGCTGGGCACACAGGGATGAGAAATTTACGGTGCAGAAATTGGGATGTGAAGCCCGAGAGGGGCACGGGTGGATCCGATGAGAAAAGACAAGAGTGGGCAGCAGGGGAGCAGGAAGCAGCTCCTCACAGCCATGTGTTCAGGCTGAACACAGATCAGGCCTGTCCTTGGTGAGCAAAAAGCAGGGAGAGAACAGTTTGTCCCTTCTGGAGGAGGGGGAGAGACAGGCCATGAAGAGATGTCTGCTGTGTCAGATGGTGACCCAAAGGGAAGGAGACAGAGGGCAGGGTGTGGCCAGGCCTGGCTGTCTGAGCTCAGATCATTTGTGAGGATGTCACAGAGAGGTGGCCTCTGACCCCAGAGGACAAGTGAAGCAGGTGTCTGCAGGCACGTCCCTGCTGTGACACACATGAGTGCCGGAACTGCAAGGACAGAATGCAATCACCTGCCTGGGGACTCTGAGGCCTGAGAGTGTGGGGCTGATCACAGGGAGTGAATCATCTATGCTGATGAATCAGATGCAGAGAGGCAGAGGACAGGAGTCACAAGCACAGCACTATGGGCCAAGGCCAGGGCTACAGAAGGACCCCATCTGCCCCTGTCCTTCAACTAGCAGTGAGCACCTGCTGTGTGCCCCAGTGAGGCAGCTGAAGGTGGCAAGCTTGATCCTGCAGCAGTGTGAGCAGCGGGACAGCTGTGGGGTCCAGGGTGCAGCTGGCTGTGGCCTGTAAGTAGGAGCAGCTAAGAGAAGACATGGCCCAGGAACTACAGAGTAGAGGATGAGGACTAAACGTGTTAAGCTGCAGACAGCCCTGGTAGGCCTGTAGCAGACAGGAGACGAGCATGTTTCCTGTGAGAGGAGGGAGGACAATTCTGCCCCTTTGGTTTCTGGGTTGTTTAAACCTCATATTCTCCTGGTGGAGTTTGTTCCCCAGTGTGCACAGTTCCCAGCATCCTGTACAGCACCCATGTTGGTACGATACCACGTGGTGCTGTGTGTGGAAGTGTAACTACAGAAAGATGATGTGGGGAGCTGGGTAACTGGAAGTCTGGGGAGCCCGTCCCCATTCCTAAGGACTGGCTCATGGGTTTGCTGCATTTATCTGTGCCCAGGGTGGAGAAGCTGTGTCAGATCCAGTGTTGCCCTTGTTCACACAGCCTTCGCATGCAAATGCTGACCCCGTCCCTACTCCTGCCCAGCTGCTGCCCTCTGTGCCTCCCTCACACTTTCCACCACCCCTCAGCCGCATGCTCTCTGCTCCCCACTGCCCATACGCCCCTTCCCCTGGAGAGTGCAATTGCCTCCCAGCTGACCGGGCTCCAGGCTGTGCTGGAATCTGTATTCATCTCCTCAGACCACTGTCCCCAGGCCCCCTGAAATGTACAAGTGCTGGTTCCTCCTGCAGCTCTATCTTCTCCTGTCCCTGCCTGTCCCTTTTCAGACAGGGAGGTACTCGAATGAGACTTGGAGGCTGTGGGGTCCCCTGTGTACCCATTGAGCTCCACACCTTCTTTGGTTCCTAGGAAAGGAGTCTGACACTGTTTACAGGTCATTCCTCACTCCGAGGGTGTAGATCTGTCCCTTGTGCCCCCTTGGTCTCCTGCAGTGTCCCTTCCCAGTCTCCAGGACTCCTCTCTGCAGGTCCTTCACCTCCATGTGCCATTACACCCAAGGATCTCTCCAGTAGAAAGGAAGAGAAGCAGAGGAGGGAGGAACAGTGGGACAGGAGCCTCTTCCCAGCTCAGAGACATCCAAGGCTCGGCCCCTTCTTCCCCACTGCCATTTACACCTTGTGTGGCCACTCCAGCTCTCAAATCCAACAGCCCCAGCTTAGGCTTCACCTTCCCCGGGAACTGTCTGCCTCCGCTGCCCTGTGGACACCACACACCTACTCTGTCTCTTTTCCCTCCCTCTTTGGCTCCCATCAGGACCAGCTGCCTCCTCTCCTGGCCTTGGATTCAGATGGGTTTTATGAATCAAGTCTGCTAGCAGGCCTGATGTCACCAGGCAATGCTGGAAGCCAACAGTTGACACAGCCAGCTGCTGGCTATCACTGTCTGATGCCAGTTTATGCCGGATATCTAAGTCAACTCTAGGTCAGCTCTGCAAGATGCTGGTCTTTGTTAGTTGCACTCATCATATTTTGGAAATGCCTAATCTGTCTACATTACTCAGGATAAAATTCCCAAGTAGATTTCTAGGACTTTTGGACTCCACACTCCCTTTTCACATGAACTCCAAAGTGAGTCTTAATTATAACATGCGACTGTGCTGAGGCACAGGGAAGCCAGGACACAGGAGGGAATTAAAACCCAAGAAAAACCTGGGGAGTGTTGCTGGTATAGCAGCTGCAGGCCAGTTTCAATGGGGGAGAACAGAAAGCTTGTCCTGAATGCTGGGCATGCAAATAAGGGGCCCAAATCCCTCCCTGGTTGCTACATCTCCAGGTAGATGTCTCCCTTCTTTAGAAATGCAGCAGTGTTCTCAGGAAGTGCAGGAGTGAGGGCAGCCTGCCTGCACTCCTGTTATAAGAATGGTGACGGGGTGCCAGGGGGAGCAAAGAGAAGCAAGGAGGAGGGATGGACAGCTGCTGGCCAAACCTTCCCTCTCCTCCAGGCACTTCTGCAACCCACAGAAGGCTGCAGAGGCCGGCTGTACAGCAGCTCTGAGCCCAGGTCACCCCTCATCTGGGTGAATACCGCTGCCCCAGGAATGCTGTGCCAGGCTGGGCAGCCCAGTGGTCAGCCACAGAGCCTCCAGGGTACATGGTGGATGCTGGGACCCAGGGCCAGTACCACTCAGTGCCTCCCTGAGAGGCAGAGGGTGGGGGCACCTGCACCCCACCTGGATGTGGGGTAAGAGCCAAGACAGGTAGAGCACCTGCCACAGCATGTTGCCAAGGTTTCCCAGCCAGAAAATGCTACCACCCTCTACCTCTCTCTGTTGTCCACCGAATGCCCCTTGCTATGGACAAGAGAAAGGAAAAATGGGGTCGGCAGTAGCCCCAGACTGGGCCCACGCCCTCTTGCAGACGGTTTTCCGGTTCACTCCATGTCTCCTCTCTGGCTGGCTGTCTCTCTAGTCTCTCTCTCTATCCCTCAGCTCTTCCTCTGCTGGTCCCATGGCCACACCTCATACCTCTACCTCCATTACTGTCCTCACTGGAGACCCAGGACCCTGGGGCCCCAGGGCTGGCGGCTCTCACATCCAGCCAAGCAGCTGGGTTGGGACCTCTCTCTTCTCTACCCAAATAGGCCAGAAGGATCAAGGGCTGGGCAGGGGCCTTGAACTTGGCACTGTCCCAGCCTCTGCTGTTAGCTCCAGGTCCCTGACGTCAAACCTCAGAACAGGTTGGCTTCTCAGCCCAGCCATCTACAGGCCTTGCCTGGATGAACTAGGGTCAAATGAACATCCAGTTAGGAGTCTAGTGTGCAATCTGGGACAGGAGGACTTTCCAGGATGCCTCGGAGTCCCAGCCTCTCCAGGCTGCCCGTAAATTCTGGAATTTTCAGCCTTTGCTTATCCAAACTAGAGGAGAATTTGGGTTGCTGAACCAAATGCCTTGGAGTTTATTTTCTAACCTTGCTGCTTGGATCTCTCAGCAGTTGGAAACTGGGGTAGGGGTGAGGCAAGCGGCCTCTGCTTCCTAGAAGAACTGGATTATTTTCCAAGAAGGGGTCTGGAGATGGCTGGCCCAGATGTCCTTGGCCTTGGGAGGACCAGCTTGGTGCCTGGGTGAGGCTGAGGTGGCAGCCCCTGGCTCTGTCCCCAAGGATGGGTTTATTTATTTGCTGAGTGGCTGGATCAGGACATCCTGTAGAGCAGGGCCATGTGTTTTTGGCTCTGTCTTTCCTGGCCCAAGAACTGAGGCCAACTGGGATGAATACATACCCACTCCCCTTCTCCTCCTCACAGAAATGCAAGCAGGCAGCCCAGACTCCCAGGCCCCAACTTCAGCCAGACTGTAGGGTCCTTTGTTAAACCTCAGAGTCAGTTGAGACACCTGTGGGGTCCAGGGCAGACGGAGCTAGAGTGAGGGTGTCACTCTCGAGAGACAGCTGACCACTTGTGGGACCCTAGGGAATTTACCTACCCTGATTGGCTTCTCTGTGAAGTGGAACTCAAGCGCTGCCTGCCTCCAACAGTGAGGGCAGGACAAACACAAGCTGCCTGCCTCCAACAGTGAGCGCAGGACAAACACAAGAGAAATGCAGGCGGGTGTTTAGTGAGCACTCGGTGTGTGCCACGCACTGCCTGTGTATTTCGTGCAGATGATTGGGTTGACTTCTCACAGGGACCCTATGGAATGAGACTGTTTGTCCATGAACAGATGGGGAAACTGAGGCACCAGAGGTTAGATGAGTTGCCCAAAATCACATAGCCAGGAAGGGTGAGGTCAGACTCAATCTCAGGCCACCTGATGCCAGAACCCGGGCTCTCAGCCATTTGGCCAGTTTCCCGGCCAGAAATAAGACACAGCCACTGTGGGGTGGGTCGCTGATGCCCAGGAGGCCCTGAAAGCACAGGGAGATCTTCACCTCTATAATGCATCCCAGGAGCCTCAGCTAAAGGTTAGGATTCTGCCAGAGGATAGTCAGGTGGCCCCTCTGTCAGCAGACCACCCTTGAAAGCTGGAGTCCCCAGAGTTTCAGCAGCTTTGGTCTTCCATGTTAGATCCTCTCCACATGCAGCCCCACCAGGACCCTGATCCAGCTTGAATCTGGCTCCACTGCTTGCTGTGTCTTCTCAGACAGCTGGTCTGCCATTCTGGGCCTCGGTTTTCTTCTCAGTGAGATAGGGACAGGAGTGGAGTGAAGGTTATGGTGGAGATCAAACGAGTCCATCGCTACCTTGCCTGGCTCAGAGTCAGAGCTCAGGTAGCTTCAGGAGCATGGAAGGTCTTGGTGGACCTGGAGTCCAGGGTTC